AGATGGAAAGGGGCGTGGTGATGCCGGGTTGAGTCATCCGTCGCGGACGGCCCTCGTATCGTCTCGACCTTTCCCCCAGCCTTCGCTGCGCATAGCGCCGACGAACTGATGAGAACTTTCTGGAATCTCGCGCGGAAGGTATTTAATCGAGCAGCCGAGACGAGAGATCAGGAGAAGACGGAAGTTAGCGCCAGAGCGCGTAGGGATTCCGCCGTGTAGTCGGCGAAGGTTTTGTCCGTAGAGACAAAGCAGGAGAAGAAGATGATTTCCACCTGAGGGGTGACGACTCGCGCAACAGGCTAGAGTGTGTGTTTACCGCTATCGAGCGAAGACGCGTGGCAACAGCTGCGTGTGTGAAGCCGACGTGTTTCCGGCGAAGAAGTTCGAAGCTTGGAGAGTGGCCTATTGAAGACGTGAGGTTTCCTGGAAGAGAAACTTCGGGGGCAGCGGAATGACAACAACGCTGGACTTTGAGTGAGTGATTCTCGGAAGAGTATTATCCAGACTTTTGTTCCAAGAACTTTGGACTGAATAGGTTTTCTATCTCTCTAGTCTTTAAGTGTCTTGGTTGTTCAATGCATGCGACTGCATTGTAGTGCGTATTGTAGTAAGTGTCCGTTGTTTCGAGTGTGGCTGATTGTACTGTGTAGTACGTTGTTTGGTGGGTGACATATTGTATTCAACTATTGTGGAGTGTGCATACTTGTTTATTGTTTTTGATCTGCCATTATTGAGAATATAATTCTGTTTTGTTTATCAACTCTCGGCTCTGACTTGTTCTTTGGGCCACAGCCGGCGTCCGCTCTCGCGCCAAAAAGGACCACTTCTAAATTGTCCACGCTTTCGTGGTGCGGTTCGGGGGGCCGATACTTCGGCCCTTGGAATTAGCCCGGCGATAGCCTCCCTAATTAACGGGACTTGTGACAAATGCATTCCTCCTAATATCATGGAAAAAATATGGCAGCATATCCACGGAGTGAATGATGGAGAGTGGGGCGAAGCATCCGTCCGTCCATTCGTTCTTGCTTCCGTCTGTGTATGCGTGCGTCTGTCTGGCCGCCCGTGCATCCATCCGCCTGTCCGTTTGTGCATCCGCACGTCCATGTGTGCTTCCGTCCCTGCGTTTGTCCATGTATCCGCTCCTGCTACCGTCCATCCGTCCGTGCAGCCGTCCGTGCGTCCGTCTATGCATCTGTCTGTATGTCCGTTCGTCCACCTATTCAACACTCTAAGTACCACCATCTCGCATCTTTTCATCATATATTCCTCATATAGAAGCACCGCCATCCAGCGGACATTCCAAGGACTGATCGAGAGGAGGCACACGCACACTTTCTCACAGCTTGCACTTCGTGTCTACTTCCCACCTTTAACCACCTCGAGTTCATGGTATATACTAATTCACTGTATTTATGGCACTGCGGCCCAACGCTCGCTAAACCTTTCTAAAACCAAGGAGGTTACACCCAGCGAGTATAACGTAGCAACCCTTTCTTGTCAGATAGTGCTCAATGTACATGCCAATGGCTGCTAAGGGGTAATGAGAGACAGGAGAATTCGGCTTTTAGTTAACGCACACAGTACGATTTTTTTTATTGTTCAACAACGCACAGAAATCTCCCACCGGCACCACCTTTGAGGTCAAAATCTAAGACTAGTTACACACTACGACTACTACTATTACTACGAGGAACGAACGGGTGCCGCTTTAAGGAGCTTCGCCCCTAAAATACCCGCCATTCCGCAAAGTGAATGATATTAGAGGAGCTTGCTCGGAGGTGCACCAGGCGTTTCTTGGCGAGACCATTTCTGCAGGAAGGCTTGCTAACGATCCTGTGCATGATGTCAACCTTGAAGGTGGCGATAGTTATAGCGTGAGAACAGAACGACGACAAAGAGACAAGAAGGACACGCAGCCAGCACTGCACAGTGTTGGCAATGTTGATCAGTACGTTAACAACCTGCCCCTTAACTGCCGTGAGTCAAATGCCTAACACCTATAAACGGCAGACGTGCATTAAGCTATCACGCGTTCTTCAACGGGGTTGAGAGCAGGCAGGTGAGGGGGCTTGGGAAGATATCGGTACCCATGCGTAACACTCATCGTAGGAAATGCCGTGCCTACGAAATGTGCCACACTTAGGGATAAGCAAATTGTAAACATCGATGTTTGAAGTGAATTTCAAGCAGAGTGATTTCATTGAATAATTTTAAATCCTATATACAGTACATCATATACAAAAAAAATGAGCATTTCTCTCATGACCCAAGTAACTTGCGAAGTAGTTTTAAGCATTTGAACCAGGAACTTGACTTTGAGACGATGGATCAGTGGCTAAGGTGCTCGGCCGCTGACCGAAAGATCATTTGCATTTTGGTTGCATTTTGGTGGAGGCAAAATCGTTGAGGCCCGTGTACTGTTCCCATGTCAGTGCATATTAAAGAACACCACATGGTGAAAATTTCTGGAGTCCTCCACTACAGCGTTTTACTCTGGTTTTGAGATGTGAAGCCCCAGATATTATAATTAAGGTGTGAAATGAAATAGAAGTAATGTTGAACAGCAGCAAGATTTGAATAACACTACAGTGCTATTAACAGGCGGAACATTATGTTCTTATTTACTCTACTTATAACACAGTCATAGAGGGCCAGTGAACAAGCCCGAAACAGTTATGAAGAGAAATATGGGTACTTTTACTATGTGAACATGCAGGTGCAAGAATTTCGCTAATGTATGCTACAATAAGGATGTTACAGGGGTTAGAACATCCATTTCAGCTGGTTTCAAATTTTTCGTGCAACCTCACTACTTTTCTCTGCCATAGCAAGGGAGAAGGCGTAGCGTGTCATTGTGACTCTGCCCACTTTCAGCAACGTGACACATCAGCGATACGTCATTGGCGTGCAGCCAGTGACTGAGCAGAGCATCCCCGGCATGAGCATAGCAGCGCAGAAAAGAAATGCGATTCGAGAAGCGCACTTCCACTAGCAGTGAAGTAGCGAGACACCTCTATATATTTCGGAAGCTTTCCTTCTGGCCACACCGCTCCTCCGAGTAGTCTCAGCCTACACAAAACAACAGAGAACAGCACAGAAAAATGAAAATGCGGACAGCGTGGCCGAAACTCCACCATCACAGGGCTAAGGCACCGTTCTTTAGTGCAAATGACCAATGAACGAGCTCATTGGCAAATCAAGTTGCCCATGGGCAGGCTTGCATCACTGCACGTACGAGGGGGCTGATCAGAAGGAAAGAGGCGCGGGAATTATTTTTTTAAATGAAAGGCCTGCGCGGCGTGCAGCACTGCAATCTCTCAAAAATATGATCGCGACGGTATACCGTACGAATTGGCAAGCTTGTTTGCGGGTGTGTAAAAAAAAAATAGGACCCTCTTTACTGGCCATTAAAAACAATTAATCGTCAATGTAACATGTACACATTTAATCCTGAAGTGTGGCTTTGCTGCAGTACAGCTTTTTCCTGGACAGGTGGGTTCAGTGCACATAACCGCATGCTGCAGTGAAACAACAGTTACAGGGCCATCATATGCAGTTAAAAGTATACATCGATTCAATCACTACTTCGAAATTATGAATTATAAAATTTCGAGTAGAAGTGAATTTCAATATTGTAATCTTTGTTGAAATATTGAAAACGCTTGGATATTCACCCGTGCCTAGTTTCATTGCCTTGCGGCCCTGCATAGGTGCACTAGTGTGAGAGACTGGCTCAATGGAATTTTAGAGATTACTCTAAAAAATTATTTTTCGGGCAACTTTCTTTTTTTTTGACGATCCATGACCGCCAAGCGGCATTACCTTGCCGTACAAAAAGTTTCGCCACTGAAAATAGGTGGCAGCTTCAATATTAATCTCCCATCAAAGACCCATCAAATCTCCCATCATTTTGCGAATTTCTCTAGTGACACTAATACACTCACCAGCTAACAAAAGTTTTAGATTCAGAAAAAAAATTTCTGTAGGTTTCACTCTACATAAACGAGCAATGATGAGCTTCACAGATAATCAACTTTTAATAAAACCAAACATTACACTTAAACCCAAACATGGAAACCATGGGTGGCTTGTCACTAAATGGAAGCTTGCGAACATATTTTACAGCGAAAGCTGTTATGAGATCACAACTCGGGTCACGCGCAGTTGTCCGCCGCTGCCAGGGTCCATAACCACATCGCGCAAATTTTGAAAAAAAAACTAGCACCAATGACACAGTGGGGCTCGAACACGGGTCCACTGAGTGCCAGCCCAGTATTCTACCACTGAGCTACGCTGGTGCTTGTGACTTGTTGGCAAACTTGTCTTAGGCAGGCTTGATGTTCGGAAAGCAATCATGTTAATACAACTTATAAAGTGTTTTGCAACAGCGAAAGAACAACCAGTCGTTGCACAATGCGAATAGCGTAAGAGTCGGCCGTCCAATGTTCCAACCGATTACAAAAGCTTGTCCTTGTTCCTTTATTAACTGTGGCGCATACCCGCTTCAGCCATAATTCCTCATTGTCGTCAGCCACTGCATGAACAATTGGCACAAAATTCCTCGCAAATGTTTTGCGGATACCACGCTTTTCAAAATAATGACGAAAAATAGCATAGCGAATGCTGGCCTACCACCCAAAAGTTTATTATTGATGCCCTAGTGGGTACCAAGCAAGTGTGCTTGCAGTAGTTACCCAATGAGTGTTTTGAAAAGGCTCTGAAAGGCCGCTCTTCTCGCTTTCGCTGTAACTGTGCTGCGCCTTCCGAGGAGGCCTGGCATTTTTTTTAGCTTCCCCAACTTTAGCCTAAATCAGCGAAATTAAAATGCTTACTCTGACACTACATACTTTAATGTTTTGTTCTATCTCCAGGTTCACCTGAATTTGGGACAAAGACTTAATTTATACTCCACAATTTCTATGCTACAATGATTACAGCGTGGGCTGGTTTCTAAAGATGAGCTGTGGTGCAGCGAAAAACAGAACACAGGACAAGAGCACTTGTAGTATCTGCTGTCACTTGTTTGCTGTTCAGTACATCTGACCATTCTGTGCTTACAAATTGACCACAACATGACATACCACCCTACAAATTGCAGAGCAGGCATTCTGAGCAGTTATTCCTGTTCACCTTTCATTTTACAGTGATGGTACACATGTCCCAATGTTACACACAATGCAATACGAACATTGCAGTGCAAAACTAAACAAAAAAAGCAGTGCCACTTTTATTTCGTGAGAAGCTTTGTCAACTTAAGTCACAAAAATAAAGTTATTCAAATACGCTCAGCAAGTGCATCGTAGAGTTCCTGTCGAAAAATCACAAATTGGTCATACACTAACACATACCTTTTTAAATTATTGCAACAACAAAGCATAGAGAAACAATTTCACAAGATGTCCGTTGAGATGTTACAACTTCGGTTAGTTGTAACAGAACAACTGCACAAGTAAGTCCTTATGACAGTTGTACACTTTTCTTATGCAAGACAAAACCATGATATCCGGAAGCTCAAGCAACAAACTATATTACAGGGTCCCACGCTTTGACGTGTTACAATACAAAAAGTGATGCATTAATCTGACAGCCAAGTCAGCATCAGATGAAAAGGCACGCAATGAAATCAGTGATTCCCGAATGAGAAAGTGCTTCCTATTTACATGAAAGTTCAATGATTCTGCGACCTCAAGTTATGCCAAGTCAAGCCTTAGCACTCTTCTAGCACACGTAAAGCTGCATACCTGTACTGAACCGAATGCTGATGCCTGAACAATACGAGTGGCCTAACACCGGCCGAAGCGGAGGTCTCAATGAGACGCACAAGTCCTTCGAATGTACAGTAACCAAGTCCCCTACCACACGCTGACGAGAAACAATAGTCTCCGCTCACCACACCCCCGAAAAGAAGTCTTGAGCAGCTCTTCACCACACTGCTCACGGTCGGCCTAGCCAACAACTCTTCAACCGAAGGCCTGGGCACTTTCCTCTTCTTCTCTTTGGGGTCCTTCAGTTTCTTCAACTTCCTGAGGCTCTCGCAAGGTGCTTTCGCCGATTCGGCAGAACCACTGTTCTTAAGCGCCAGGACGTCTTCCGCACTGGGCATGGAGATGGAGTCGAAACGCTTTGGAACTCCTCTCGAACAGCTGGTGAGTTCTACGCAGACGAGTGCGTGTGAGAGATCCAGCTTCGCTGCCTTGGCTGTGACGCGAATGTCGTCCAGCTGCTTGGACGCAGTCGTCGCTGACAGCGTGATCTTTTTCCGCTTCTTGTTGGCATCTGTGAAGATGGCCGCCAGCCTCCTGAGCACTTTGCGGCTTCTGAGGACGTAGAAGGTGGAACCATCGTCGTGTCCGACGTTGTCGGCACTGGACTGGTCCAAGGTACGCCACTCGTGGACCAGTTGTGACCACGGGAAGAAGAAAGGGCACGAGATGCGCAGCTTCTGGAACGACGGCCGCTTGTCCGGAGGGTACCTGCATTGAGATGGGGGAACTATTAAACAATGCACAAGTGTTTCATGCTCTGTATGCTCTGTCTGTTAGTTTGGTGTTCACCACATTGGAGAACACCAGGTAAGCTGTACTGTTCATATTTAAAAAAAATTGTCATTCTGAAGTGTGAGCAGAATAAAGAGCCTTACAAAAGTAAGCAGATGATGAATTTAGATAACATATGAAATAAACACTGTTCTATGCTTTAATATAGAATGATGTGAATGAAGCAGGAAGAACAGATAACTTGCCACAGGTAAAAGTAGAAGCAGCATCTGCAACAAATGTACAGTCTCCTACTGCCAAACTACACGAAGGCCAGTCTCTTTGTCAACTCTCCTGAGCGGTTTGGTTTGTGCACTGGGCTTTGACTCAGTGCGTGCCACACAGGTCTAGCATTGGTAAGCGATTTTTCAAAAATCCCCCTTGTGGCAGCAGACATGCCCTACTTTACCTGACACAGAGTTTGCTCTTACCTTTCGCTGTACCCTACCTACAATCTTCCAGATTCGGAAGGCTGACTGCTCATTATGTAGGCCGAATTCTAGTAAAAATATAGAAGCATCCACACAACATTGTGGAAAACGATGCAGTGTCACATATAGGACTCAATGAAAGAGTTACACAAATATTTTCTGAATCTCATAACAAAGAACATATATTTAGAACCAATTTCTCAAACTTCATTGTCATGCAAAACGTAAATCTATGCACTTTAAAAAACCTTCATGACACTCGCTGCACCCTTAAATATTCATGTGGTGTTTTGCTATTAGCTTCTAAGCATTATAAATAACTTGCAAAATATCGTGCAATTCATGTCTGCTTTCGAGAGCGAAATTCCTCTAGACCTGAGAGAGTTAATAAGGAAACAAATCAGCATAGCACAACAATATAAAATAAATCTGTCTGGAATAAAAAAACTGTATGTTCCGGACCACAAGAACCAATGTTATGGCAAACAGTCATGGGTGAAATCCTAGCTTCGTATTCACCCACTGCATGATTTTTCAAATTTCATAGTGCGTGACTACAGAAATGCATTCACAAAAACCACGTTTAAATAAAACACTGTACATTTAACCTCAGCACCAGCTTCAACTCATTGCATCAGTCTACCAAAGCGGTAGCAGTGAACCATTGTCATATATCAAAACTGCGGATAAACGTGTGTATTGTGGTTAAAAATAAATGGTGTTCTAGACACGACGTTATAAAAACCTAAACACAATTTATGTACAAAATTTCATTATACTGATAGCTGAAGTGCCATTTATTACATATAAAAGAGTACGCTTATGGCAAGCGGTGTAGTGATACAACAAACTTGAAGAATTTATAAAAAAAAAGAAATAAATGGGCATGCTTCAACAGTCAACCTCCAACTGTCACCGTCCAGACAAAGTGCCAAAAAAGGGTTCTGTATCTGTGTGCTTGACCCTCACAGCATGAGTGCAGATGCCAAAAGGGTTGAATAACACAGACCACATCCAGTTCCTTTAGCTGTCCGGGCTAGCGTGGCATTCGGAAAACAAGATCACCACTGGAGAAGCCCTTCCAGCATTACCCGCCAAGAGGGGCAGGCTCCAGTGTGCATGCATAGAATACAGAACAAGCGAGCCAAGGAACAGGCATGGCAACTGTTGCACGACCATTTTTATGTTGTTTTTGTACAGCTTTTGCACCATTTTCACACCACAGTTGCAAAGTAACTAACCCAGGCCAACTTCTGTGAGACCAAGTTGGCCTGAACACTTTGGTCATTTGGGTGCTTCAGGCATTTTTGTGCAATGTGAGCCACTTACTACCGTAACTACTCTAATCTAACGCGCACCTTTTTTCCGATTAAGCGAGTTCATAAATCGCATGCGCGTTAAAATTGAGTACGAAAAAAAATGAATACGGTCATTCTATTGCCATCGGCATTTCCAAAATAGCCGCCCCCTACGTGCGTCGGCATGGCACGTCGGCCATCTCTGCCTATGTGTTTCCCATGTGCGGCACTTCGTACGTGTGCTGAGGAGTTCGTCATCTTGTAGTGCATTAGCATCGACGACATGGAAGGGCTGACTACAAAAACTCAAGTGCACCACGATGCCGCTTTTAAAAGAAAAGTCATCGCGTGTGCAGAAACGAATGGAAATCGGGCCGCATCGCGGTCGTTTGGAGTTCCCGAAACGTGCGTGCGGGACTGGCGGAAACAAAAGCAGAAGATTGTCGACAGCAAAGCTTCACGCAAAGGTTTCAGTGGACCACAGCAGGGTCGGTTTCCGCAAGTTAAAGAGCTGCTCGGCGAGTATGTGCTTGAGCAGCGAGCGGCACAGCGGCCCGTGACGACAGAACTGCTCCAAGTGCGGGCTATGCAATCAGCCTTAGAAAAAGGTCTGATGCAGAGCCAGTTTAAAGCAAGCAGGTGCTGGCTAACTAACTTTATGAAGAAGAAAGGCTTTTCCCTCCGAAGGGGAACGGGCATATGCGAAAAGTTTTGCGGAGGAGTACGATTAAAAGCTTCACAGTTTTCAGAGGTTCGTCCTAAACTTGCGGCACAACAACGGCTACCTGCTTGGGCAAATCGGGAATGCCGATCAGACGCCTCTTTACTTCGACATGCCTGGCACCACAACCGTCGAGAAGAAGGGGGCGAAGCAAGTTCGCGTGCTGACATCGGTCCACAGTAAAACTACAGTGATGGCAATGCTCTGTTACACGTCAGATGGGCAGAAGCTTCGCCCGTACCTCATATTTAAATGGAAGACGCTACCGAAAGGAGTCCTTTTTTCGAGTGGTGTGATCGTGCGGACCAGCGAGAAAAATGGGTGCGCGTTGCAATCGATGTCTTATGTTTTCTTTTTTTTCGTCGTGGAAATCGGGTGCGTGTTACAATCAAGGGCGCGGTAGAATCGAGTAAATACGGTACGTCGACTCTCATTAAACGGAACATGTAGGGACCGGGGAAATGTGTTCCGTTTAACAGGATACGTTCGTGTTATCCTCACCTATACCCGATGGACGCGTGTAAAGCGTGCGGGGAAAGGGCCACACTGCGACACATGCTTGGGAGTGTGCTGGAAAAGTTAACGTCACAGCCGCCGCTACCTTCGCGACACATGTTAGGCAAGGGCCGGCCTCCGCCGCGGCTGCAATCACTGTTGCCAATCGGCGGCGACAGCTGCACTTCCACTCGGAGGCAGCACTCACCAGGGACAAGCTGGCTGACCAGCTTTGGGCCGTCTGGCAAGCTGAAGATGCCGCCTGTGTCCAAGGACTTCGAGCGGTCACCTGGGGCACCGCCATCATAATCGACGGAGAGTGGGAAGGTACAGGGGTTAATCTCCTCTTCCCCCACCTCGCCCGGTGAAAACTGCCGGACTTTAAAGGAGCACAGACATCAAATTTACTCATGTCAAGATTTTTGCGCCAACGAGTAGCTATTAACCCCCTAGTAGGGATTCGCCACCTAAAACGCATCCGAGGTAAGAATGAATATGTCTAATATTGATTAATAGATCTGCTATCAAACGTGGTTCAAAATGGGTCGAAAGCCTGTCAAATTGTAGTGGTGTCAGCGCTACCTCGCGGCTATGTCGAGGCCGCTGCACTGCTGATGCTGCTTTAAAAAAATGGTGATGTCATGCACACTAGCACTTCGTCTACTAGGAGCGCACGTGCAATCAGTCCAGCTGTGTTAACGTGGCTAACCTAGCTTTGTCCCTGATGACGTCGACAGAAGCCCCTCCATGCGTTTTTCGCCGGCTAGGTTAAGTAGCACCAACTCGATCTTCCCCTCTCCCTTTAGCCCCAGCCTCGATAAGCGGCCTCGTACTGCAAGTGAAACCCAACTCGTTTGCCAACACAAAATTTACCCAGTAGCAGCTCGGTTCAAAGTGAAGCGAGCAAATGCAACTGTTCTTTTTAGGCGTCCAGTCGATCCCTCTGTCCATCGGCACATACGAAGTCAACCCACTGGCTGCGTTGAGGTTTGTGGCTTGGAAAAATTAAGGCATGAAACGCCACGCAGTTTCCGCTTTTGCCGCGCCTCGACCTGCAGGTTCTCACTGCACAGCGGTTTCCCGACATTCTGGCACGTGTTGTCACCCTAAATTATCGTACTCATACTGTAAAGCACATGTCAAATCAGTTGATGCGACATAATTAATTTCACGCATGTTTGAACACAAAAAGAAGAGCCATCCGTGAGGGCATGGCCGGGAGTCGGCTCCAAACACACTCAGATCGTCGACGTCATTTTCACTAGCGTATCGTCACTCAGGGTAGTATTTGTGGAATGTATTACACCGACCACGTAGCACTAGGGTCGACGCCGCAGGGCAGTTCGGGCACATCGTCAAACAAAACCCGCGTGTCCGAAACAGTTTTGCACCATGGGGCGTGGTAGCCGTAGAGAGCCATTTTCAATGCATGCTGTAGCCAGATTCAATAGCTATATCCAATATCGCAACATTGGAGCATCATAATAGGCAGTTCATTTCCCCATAGAAAGCACACAAAAGTGCACAGTGCCATCGCTGTTCATCCTTATACATGGTATATTCCTATAAATGATTGTACAGACCATGAGCCCCTCGGAGGAATCCGCCTACTTTCAAACTAAAAAAAAAATGATTTGTACAGCGATTTATACACTGAGCGCTGCAGTAATTTATAAAAAAGAAGATTAACATCGCACAAAAACACCAAACTTGATCAAGTAATACGTTCTCTACTACCAAGTACCACCTTCATATCCTAGTACGTCTCAAAAGTTCAAAAGTATCACCATTCAGTACCAAACATTCTCGCATATGACAGCTGCATCGAAATAGGGGGAGAAAAATAACAACAAAGATAAAGGCAGGCGTTACAAAATTCGCAACGTAAGCAGACCTTTGTCTGGCTGTTGCTAGAGCAGTATGTGCACCAATACCATCAACAAAGTGCTCATCAGGAAACTTTGTTGTTTCACTATTTCTTTGTTGGTTAACTCCATGAATAAAATACTTCAAATTAATGCTTGTTTTCGAAAACTCAATACCGGAATCACAATGAAGGCATAAGTTCTATTCCAGCTCCAACAAAGTTTTACACAGTAGAGAACTTGTAGATACAGTCCCTTAAACATTGCTTACGTTTCTTTGTAAACCCGCTCGAGTTCTTTAGCTTTCCAAGTAGTTTGCTAGTGCTAAGTTCTGCATTATGTCGACCCACACTATTATGTCAACACGCACTACTTCCGTGGATCTTCGCGATCTAACTGAGCACACCAGCACACACCTACAGGCAGAGCTTACCGCAGATGCTTCGTCATCAGCTCCCGGCGGTTCTCCTCCTCAGACAGCCGAGTGGCGGCCGTGTCTGGGTGATCGAAGGGAAAGCAGGGCAGGCCCATCTCCAGCGAGAGGCTTCGCAGTTCCCGCAGGCCACACGCCCGGGCACCCCGATAAACCAGGGCAATCCAAAACGGACGACCCCAGCCGGCTGGCAAGATCAGATCCCACCCACTGCCAAAACCTGGGTTATTCAACAAGCGAAAGAGGGCCAGGGATTGATATTGGTTGGATCTTTATAGCTATCAGTGCAGAGACATCAGATGCAAGGCCTAAGTTAGATGAGCTACTCTGTAACGTAACAAACAGCATGTTATTGACAACATTAGACAAACTGATGTGAAAAGTGATAGCTCTGGTCGTATTGCATGCTCTAATGAAAAAGTGAAGCAATCCATCAAGTCACCTTAACGCCCTTACAGCAGTAAAGTTAGAATCAACAAAAAAAGTTAAAATAATCATGAATTTGATGGCAGCATTCCAAACCATATACATTCTTCCATTTCAGCTTCACTAGAATAAAATAGCACCTGAGTTAGGCAGTGAGCCCCTGATTGTGCACAGCTGCTAGGACCCAGGAGTTTTGCAGCATCTCGCTTTTTATGAAAAGCTGTGGATCACAACAGAAAGCAATACAGTCAATGCAAAAGCATGCAGATTTTTGTTTTGATAAATTTATTTGATAATGTCTAAAGACAGGTCAATTTTACTATACTAAAACAAGGTTTTAGATAAACTTGCCACTACACTTCAACCTCATTACACTCGAACCTTGATATAACAAAACTGGATATAACAAAGTATTGGTTATAACGAAGTGAATAAAAAAACAGTTTTACAATATATATATAGTCTTAGGAATAAACCTTTATAACGAATTTTCTGATATAGCGAACTTATTTTAGTGTAAGATACAATTTTGTTATAATGAGATTTGAGTGTTTAACAAACTTGCATCATACAAGAAAATAGGTTCTTTATAACCAGAAATTCGTTACAAATGTATATACCCGACAGCATACCTATTGTTAGACTATTTTTCATTTACTTTGTAATAACCAATATTTCATTTTATCCACGTTTGTTATATTGAGGTCTGAGTGTATGCAAATTCCAATGAGGATTTCAATTATTCATCTAATTCATGTCATAAAATCCTGTTTCATTAAAATGATGTATATTATCTCAGTATATTTCATGATCCCTTTTGAGTACAACAAATGCAGGCTCGACCACAAGTGTCTTTACGACAGCTATTGTGGTAGAAACGACAAAAGAAGTTCGACAACTGCTGAATGTGCCTGCGTGCTTGACCCTCACAGCAAATACAGTTGTGCCAAAAGGGTTGAATAACACAGGCTTTTCTCAGTTTATTCTTTAGCTGTCCAGGCCAAAGCAATGTCCATAAAGCAAGGCATCACCAGCACAAGGCCGTGGCAGCAATTGTCTGTGGCGCAACACTTGCAGATCGATTTGACCTAGGCCATCAAATATGGCCACACAAAACACGTAGCAAGTACTTTAGAGAGTCTTCTGTTAGATGAAAACATATGCCGTTTTCTCCAAAATTTTCTCAACTCGCAAAGGTAGTGAGAAGACATAGTCCCGGACAATAGGCATAGAATGTAGTCGTGATCATAATTGATAAACAAGCAATTGCGTGGCAGTGTGCAAGTGCACGCCGTCAAACAGCTGCCAAGAGTCTCGCAGTGGGGCCATTCTACCCTGCCTGTTCAGTTGCCGCTGCACGTGGGACGAATATTGGAATTTGTGGCTGCTCGTCATGAAGCAGTGGCCTGGAACTCCGTGGTCTGATCTTAGCACTGTTGGCAAACTACATAAAATTGAAATGTTCCCTGCACAGATTGCTATCACTGGCACAATGTCACGATCAAAAAAGGGCTAGCCGTTCACTTCACTATGCACGTGCATTTTTTTACTGCGTCATCGTGTCTCTCTATAGGTGGGCAAACACATTTTTTGAAAAGTCTTACAGCAAAAAGTACACAACGAATTTCGCACGATGCCAGTTGGCCTTTCGCAAGCATGCATCTACGTGTGCCTTTGTGCCTTCAAGAAGCGCTTGATTTCAAAAGACCATGTGGCACTGAAGATGAGGTGCTGTGGGAGGACGATTCTGACTAGGTAGTGTAAGGAAAAGCAAGGATGAATGAGTGTGTGAGTAAATGCTTTGAGTTTCTGCTCTACTTAGGCTACATTAGGGTTGAAAGATTTTTTTTCTTGCATTTGCTATTTCTAAAATACACCTCGGACTACATGCCGGTCCAGACTACCGTAAAAAACGAAATATACAGTCAACTCTCGTCAATTCAAACTCGAAGCGACCTTTGAAACTTGTTTAAGTTATCAAGAAACTTGAATTATCAGAAGTACTCAGATAGATGACTCTGGGTGAGGTGACGCCACACGTTAAGATTAGGCATAGACTTTATCCCATTTAAAAACTTCTTAGTGTTTTTAAGAAAGCCTTTACTGCACACAGTGAACAGGAAGCAGAGGTGTAAAGCCCACAAGTTTATTGGCCACTTACTGCGGATCAGACCTTTTAAAGCAATCCTGAATTGCCAACTGATTCATTGATATATGGGCCTTCAGCACAAAGCTCTCTATACCAATGGAGAAGCATCACGGTTTACCATATGCATACTTCATTATTAACATTTTTGTACTTGCAAAGCCTTTTTCCTTGAAGGCCTCACCTGCTTATTTTTCATTTTCAGAATGTTAGGATTATATAAGCACACAAATTTTCAAATCGTAGTGGGAAAGCAGCAGATATTTTCTGGTATGCACCTGCAAAAAGTATGATAAAGTTTGAATTAAGAGGCTTTTAAATACACTCAAACCTCGTTATAATGTAATGGGATATAACAAAATAATGGATATAACAAAGTAAATGAAATTCCCCTTGAAAGCACCATTGAAACTCGTTGTAACAAAGTAAAATTGACCGATAAATGGATATAACGAACTAACGTCTATAAAAAAAATACCGACCGTAGTGTGTTAAGTATATCGTTTTCTGCAGAATTTGATGCTCGTTCGGCGCCGCTCTTTCAAAACTCCCACGCCGACCTTACAACCACGCCCCACGCGACCGAGAAAGCCGTCCTCCTCACACAGCCAGCGGAGAGGATTGAGGAAGCGCTCAACGGGTCACATGACCGAGAAGCGGCGCCGCGGCGCAAAGAAATTTCCCTCTCACAACAGCAACGACTGCGTCTCCGCTGCTACCATGGCTCCTACCCTCTGCATCGAGAAAGAAGGACTCTCAACGACGGCTTTCTTTTTTTTTTCACACTGCACGCGGCCTTGAAAGGAGAAGGGTCTCTACGTGCAGAGACAAAAAAGGGAGAAGTGTGGCATAGGCACGTCGCAGATCGGCATTTGAGAGAAAGCAAATAATCTGCCACTGTCTTTTCTTTCCTTTTCTTCTTTTCCTTCTTCGCACGCAGCGTTGAGAGGTGCTACCGCGGGATTGGGCATGGTGCTGAGAGCATTTTCGGAGCGCGGTATGTTCGAATTAACCGTCGCAAGTGCTTGCGCGTTCGAATTACAGAGAGTTCTTGCTCATTGTAATACACATAGCTTTGATGGGACCTCAGCATGAGTTCAAATTACCCGAAAGTTCGAATTAATGAGATTCAACTGAGTTTATTTCCCATGGCACGCATGACCGTGTAGCGGTACATTGGGCTGCGAGGCGGTTTTCTTCTTGGCGTGCTTATAGGTGTGCGCCCATCTGAGCATACATTGCCACAAACTGTTATAATCCACACAGTGAAATACGGTTATAATGAACCTCAGATTAACGTGTTTTTTTTTTTTCAGATTAACGAATATTTCGAAAAAAAACCCTTCCCAGTGTCCATTGATTCAATGTTAAAGTATTTCATTACTACGAATCTCAAAGCAACGAATGTTTCAGAATAACAAATGGAATTTGATCGCCCGGCTATCTTAGTATCACTTCAAAATAACGAATTACTAGCGGCGATCTACCGTATTTACTTGCATGATCTTCACACTTTCATCACGAAAAGCCGATGAAAAGTTAGAGGGGTGCAATTACGCGGAGAAAGTTTTCTGCGAAATCGTACAGAGCGAAAAAGAAAACGAAGTGGTCCCAGATCGGGATTCTCATGCCAGCAAATACAAACTTTTGAGGGAGATGCTCCTTGAAAAATTCTTTCTTGAGATATCTGTGACAGCTCAATGAAACTTTCACCAGTTATAGAGTTCAAGCTCCTCTTTTCAAGTCTGCTTCTATTTTTTTATGGCTAATTTAGTTAATTTTTTGCAGACCATGCATTTGTAAAAACAATGTATTTTTGTGCAAGCTTGGCAACAGTATTAAGCACAAGAAAGCTCTAAAAAAAAATAGCAAATATTCCTCCTAATGAATTGCAGAATTCAATAAAGCAATGAAACATTGTGTATTATTTGTGTGCTGACCTAGAAAAAAATTCTAATGCTATGTTTGAGTTTTACCATACTCAAAGAACAAGCTACTGAAATTATCTGGCTGAATATGCTTTGGAGACCTCTGAAAGTTGTTTGTCTGAATTCAGGATATGTTAAACTTTAAGTCTGCGAAGTTTCATTGCAATCCTACTACGTAAAGTGTACAAATTATAGTGCACAAGCTCTAAAAATGCCAAAAAATGAGGAACTGAGAAAAAAAGGTTTGAAAGTTCAAAAACATGTTTAAAACTATACTCTTCAACCAATCTTCATGAAGTTCACATAGAATGTCAGCAAAGCTATCTTGAAAAAATTGACAGTTTCAGAATAATCCAGCACAATATATTGGACCCTTACAGTCTCTGCAAGCTGCCTCCTCCCGACTGACTTTTTTTTTTTCGGTACTGCGGCGATCGACCGTAGCTCTCAGGCTTGTGCGAGGTTTTCGGCGGCGGTATGCACTTTTTTTTTGCCAATGGCAGTTCTTGTGAAGCACTGGTTTTTGAACACCAGTGATTGCACAAGACCGCACAAGCTGCTCGTGCCCGAAGCTGATCGTACGCAGTGCGACCACCAACTTTACGTTCACAGCGAAGCTGTAAGATGCACTGCTGCTGGCGGACGTCTCCTAGCTTCCATTGCATGACTGATACACGTGGCTTGACGCATACGTGGACGAAACAGCAGTTGCAGCACGTG